TGTGCCTTGCTCAGGACACGTCCCTTGAGAATGCTTTCCTCCACTTTTAAGGAAACTTTAGAGTTCAAAGGACGACAGCAACCACACAACCTAATTAAACGCTCACTTGAAGACTGAGCCTTTGCTACATGCAAAACTGAATCTCCCCTCACCCGCTCTGAGGCTTGAGATCTTTTTATGTTTGAGTTATGAAGCCACTGAGACTCCAAGATGTCAAGGGAATTGCCCAGGATCATGATTCCTACCACAAGGAAGCTGGACCTGAGACTTCCCTGTCTTCCTTAATCCCTTGTACACCATCGGGAGCAGGCCTAACTTTAACTGTGAATCTTCCAGGGAGAAAGTCTTTCCTTTCAATCCTTTTGATCTCCTTGATTAAATTTTGGAGAAATGTTGCAAACAAATGCTGGCAGTTCCTCTATACCTCTCTAATGCTTTCCAGCTTACCTGATTTCCAGCTCAGGCTTTTGACAGCAAAAGCATAGACAGAATTTAATGACATTGTTTTATTTTCATTTTTATATCTGCTTTCAATTTTGATATACGGCAGCTCACAGGAGGTTATTTCTTTCTTTCTTTTTTTTTGTGATCAAACCCTGCACCTTCCCACCGAGTTACATCTTGAGCCTCTTTTTAATTTTTCTTTTGAGATAGTGTCTTGCTCAGTTGGCCAGTCTGGGATCAGTCTTGCCATCCTCCTGCCTCAGCCTCCCAGAGTGCTGAGATTGCAGGTGTGCACCACCATACCAGGCTGGATCCTATTGGTTTGTAGCATTGATTTGATGGCTCCATTTATAACATGCTGTCTCAAGGAAAAAAAAGTGGGTTGGTCCAAAAATGATCACATAGGTGGCACAGAGAATGGCAACCACAACCAAAGCTGCGTATGAACAGTAGACATTGCAAGAGCTCAGGACGTTGAGTGGCGTAGGACAAAATGGTCAGGCATCTTGTGTCCATTTCTCACCCTGCTGCTCTCAGCAAGGCAAGGAGAACAGTCCCAGAGCAGGGAGTGCGGTCGCTCCGGGCCACACCTGCTGCCTTCTCTGGAGACGAGGTCAGCAGAGGCAAGGAAGATGCATAGCTGAAGAAGACCACAGTCACCCCAGCAGGCAGTGCAGCCACTGCTCTCCCAGACTCAGAAGCCACCTTGTCTATGCAGCCTCCTACCGCTGAGGCATGACTCAGTTTCCCCCCTGTGCTATTGTGCTCGGTCTGTTCCAGTGACTTCTAATGGGAAGGGGCCTTTTGCATCTCAGGGGCAGTTTGTTAATGTCTGGAGACATTTTTGATTGTCACAACTGGGGGCACAGGTATTATTGGCATCTAGTCAGCTGAGGAAGAATTACAGATAAATCTGAAAAATTCTCTGTCCACTCAGACCTCACATTCCCATTGAATAGCAGAAATTCCTTTTTCTTGAAGATTTAATTATACACTCTGTATCGTATTTAATACTAGTGAAAAATCCCAGGTGAGTGTTTCTGAGACTCTTTATTTTACAAATGAAAATGCATGTGGAGAGAGGTGAGATGACTCTGAATTGAAAGGCGACCAGCCAGGCAATCTTTAGCTTAAGTTCTCGCCTCTTTTGACATTGCCTTAATAGAATTCAGTGTACATATGCAGTTGTGAATTCCCCAGCACTTTCTGAGCTCTCAGTTTCTTCAAGATTCATCACAAATGGAAGCATCCGTATTGGGAGTGACAGGTGTGTCATTTGGGGAAAATAATTATGGAGAAATTGGAAACTATAGCTGCATCTGTGTGGCCACATTATTCCCATATCTGAATACGTATCTTCCTAGAGAACATCAGAAAGTCCAATGTTAATTTCATTATTTTACCTCTCTGGGCTTCTAGTCCACTGGTTTCTGTGAGAATGAGGTCACAGGAAGGTGTTTGTCTGAGACATCTTTGGAGAAGCAGCCAAGGTAAAAGCCCAATGGCTGACCAAAAAGAAAGAATCCATAAGAATTCAAAACACGTTGGACATGCTGTTCTTCCATGGTGAACCCATTAAAACATCTTTGTTTAGTGTTGCATTTTCTCCAGAGAAATGGAAAAGATATCACAGCATTAGGTTATGTAAGACCATTAGCCTATTTGATGTGTTACTCGTTTTATTTGCTTTTTTTTCTTTCTTTTTTTATTCCCCTTCTTTTCTTCTTACTGCCTTGGGGATTAGCCCACTACATTATTTTGAGAAAGGCCTATCCTACCATTTAATGGCTTGTGATGCTGCTTATGAAACAGTTCCCACAAAGCAATTGGGCAAAGTGAGTAAGGGGAAGAGCTTGTGGGTAGAGGTTAGAAGAGACTTTCTGGAAGGGTGAGTGAAGGTCAGTGTGTTCGGCTGCCCTTACCTGGGTCGTGCTGTCCAGCGGAGGTTCACACACCCTCGACCAGATGGACAAAAGTGCCACCCATCAAACCAAAGGCCACGTTTCTGTTCTGTTCTGAGATTATGAATGTATTTTGTCTTTTTGATGCATGCTAGGGACCTTTTGGCTATAACTGGTTAACCAAACAATTCTGGCTTTCACAACTTAAGAAAAGAAATGGGCTGCTGGCATTTAAAATTCAGGTGAGTTCATGTACCAATCAAGACCTCTGGCTTCTGTTAAATATTCAGAAGCTATGGCACCATTGGACTCATAAACAAGACCTGTATTCTCCACTCTGTGCTGTAGAGGGTTGGAGCCGATTCACTTATCATTTTCTGTGCCTGAGCTCTCATGGGGTTGGAGGCTGTGATTCCTGGTTCTTTCTATAAGTGGCATGTGCGTGCGTGCGCATGTATTTGAGACCCTGAGATGTAGGTGAGGATGGCCTATGTAAGTCAAAGAACAATGCCTGACACAATAATTGTTTAGATTTCATTTGTTTCTGGTTGCATTAGTTTATCGATTTAAATGTCATTAAAAAGTATATGAAATCATTGTTTACCAAAACTAAATATTGGCCAAAAGAGTGGATTTTTTAAAAAAAAGTAGGTCTGACCAGTTCATGAGTCATAATATAGACCAAACACTCCACCACTGGTATTAAAAAGTAAGGTTAGAGAAGAAAACATTGGCACGTGGGGATTGATGAGCGATCTATTAACACACAAATGCATTTGATCAGTCTAAACTATCTTTCTTATTACTTTGGGCTTCAGTTTTTTAAAAAATGCAAAGGTCATTGGGTGGTTAGGCATGAGAACTGCAATTGCAAAGTTTGATACTAATCCATCATCTTACAAGCGTTTCCCACTGATAGATGTCTTTGTCCTTTTTTGGAAAAGAAAATAAGCAATAACTTCTTCTCCCTCTTCTTAAAGAGTGAATATTTCTGTGGGGAAAAAAGGATGTATGAAAAGCGTAAGACCTTGTAGGACTGTCAGTGATGGAATCAAGGGGTGTGATGGCTCACGTGCTATATTTAATGCTGTATAAGCATTAAATGCTTGTGTAGAGAGGTTGCAGAAGGGGTTGAAGGGTTGTGAAATATCTGCAGGAAAGAACAAGACTTGATTGAAAAATGCCTCGAATTGCAGGTTTTAGTTTTTCGGTAGATTAAACTGACTTAACTAAAAACCACGCGATCAACTTCCTGAGCTAATTCTTCATATTAGATAATTGGAAGTGCTGATGCTTCTTTTTCTTTCTTTTATCCTCACGTAGCTCATGTTCATGAAATTTAAGCTGAACAGATTCTGGCCAGTTCCATACACCCTGCCATGTATGCAAAAGGCTGCCGTACAGCTGTGCTACCATGCAGCTGTGTTAATTGTGAAACATTAGAGGATAAATCTTCCTCGTTTTACACTGATTGCATATACTGACGTAGATTTTAAAACTTAACAGTGGTTTGAGCAGAATATTTGCTTAATTTCCATGTTGTGTTAACACAGTTTTTCCGATGTGAGCAAAAGAGGCACTAAACCCAGAGTTCAGTGTTCAGCAGGAGATTCTGAAGGGGAGGGGGGTGCAGTCAAATAATTAGGTCCTTTGGAACCAACAGCAGGATCACTCTGTGCCTTTATGGGGGCAATAAGTACGCACCAAGATCCAAGCTTTTTTCAATGAGTCTACATATGATTTGTCCAAGTACTTTACAAATAGTGAATCACTACATTTTAGTATATGCTTATATTAAATGGTTATATAGCAATATACGTGTAATTAAAAAGCAGTTGTTTCATTTTGGCTAATTGTGTATGGCAATCTCCCCTGACTAATAAATGTTTCCATTTTTTAATGGTTTGGAGTATAGATGACCTTCTTCACCACACTTGAGGTCAGTTGTCATATTCACACAGCTTCCTGTAAAGAATGTCCCTTATGGGCTCAGTGCCTGCCTTGCAAGCACAAAGACCGAGTTCGACCCCTGGTACCAAAAGGCAAACAAACAAAAAAGAAGGTCCCTTGTGTTCCAAACAATAATTCAGTGCAATCATGCTCATTTAAAGAAAAAAAAAAGAAAGAAAGACAAAGAAAAGAAGGCTGCACTTGATCCATCAGGTTGAGTGGAATCTGGAAAAATAATTTCATGTGGGATTTCAGAGATGAAAGAATCCTTAAAACCTGTAGCAGAAATGGGTATGGAATGGAAGCGAGAGGAAGAATTTTGCTTCTACCCGACAGCTGACTGGCACGGTTTCTGAGAAGTTGCCCACGGACTGGGATAGGGAACACAGTTGTCCAGCTTTGGAATAGAAAGTGAGTTATAGGGATTATACTGAGAGTCAAGAAATGGCTCTTTTATTCATTTCCTGCTTCGCTCAGGGATAAAAACAAAAGCAAAACACTCGGAAAGTCTGAGCCTTGAACGATTGGTTCCCTGCTCACATTTACAATATTAGTTGGACGCTCTGAGCATTTTGATTCTACTTTATTTTGTTTATGAAATGTGAACATTTATCTTATCATCTTATTTTTAAAAGGCACAAGATCTTAGTCCGTTGAACTTCTGGGACCTGGATCTTCCGAAGCTTCTTGTTTTTGTCTTCACAGGATGTGTGAGACTGGCGAAGGGCTGTTCATCTTTCAGACGCGAGACGGGGAGGCTATCTATCAGAAAGTCCACTCCGCCGCTTTGGCCATCGCGGAACAGCACGAGCATTTGCTACAGAGCGTGAAAAATTCAATGGTACGTTTGGAATTTCTCCCTTCTCACCCCACATATACCCACTGTTGAATGCAGTCTGGGCATTTTTGTGTTGAACTGTATGAGCAGCATTGGTCACACAGATGGTTTACTTCTGCACCCAAGAGTGTATCACGTAGATTAACTTCCATCTGTGGAATTCCCAAAGTGGACAGTCGGTTTAAAAAATTAATCTGGTCTTGATCGTTCATTCATTCCTTTATCCATCTACTCGGTCCTTATTGTATGTGAACATTTATATTAAAATCTGTTTGGCTGTGTACATCACCTATAGGCACACTCGTGGGTTATCTCCACATGGACATATATTTATAGCCATATCAGATGTTACAGTTTTATTATATGTGCTGCCAAAGCGAGCACGGAGAAGTTATAATTTTAAATGCCATCAGAGGCTGGAATGAGAGAAGAGGGTTACGGGCAACTGGAATGAAATATCAAAAAGCTAAGACCAGACAGCTGTTGATAGGAAACTGTGGGTCCTGTAGGGATAGATTTCTTGATTTTTCAAGGGAAGCTAAAGATTTGAGTCTGCGTTTAGTGCCATCCAGCTGCTGACTGTTGGCAGAAAATTGCAATTGAAATAGCAGAACTCTACAGGCCGAAGAAAACCTGACAAGCTACACACAGTCATGCATTTCTGGCTGCAGAAAGATGCCATGCATATGTGAGCACACACAACAGGCCTTGGAAAATCTACCTTTTCCATTGCAGTGGGCTAGGTACAATAGATTGGACCAAGAACGCATTCCTTACTTTGTTATTAAAGGAGAGTAAGTTAATGAAATCTTGAATGAATGCACACAATTAAAGCAAATCACGTATTCATACTTGTAAACATCTCCACGGGCTTCATGTTTGGAAGGAAATAAAATCAAAATTAGCTGGTTTGTTTTGGTAAGACTAGGATAGTTTGAATGAAGTCTTTAGTATCTTAACCTATGGGATGATAGTTGGTTTTAAAGAGGGAAGCAAAGCCTGCCAGTAATGTGAGCTCCCCCAAGGGGCTCCAGATTAATCTCAAATGACTTGTGCACGTGGCAAGCTGAGGTTGTAGAACAAGGATCGTGAGAGCCTCTGGTAAAGGGTCAGAGAGTAAATCTGTCAGTCTTTCTGGACTCTGTCACAGCCACTTTTCTGCCACTGTAGCACAAAAGCAGCTGTAGAAAAATGCGATGGATTGGGAAAAGCTGAGTTCTGAAAAAGAAACATTAATGGACGCTGAAATTCAGGTGTCATAGATTTTACTCCTGTAACAAAATTCTGCTATTTTTCAACCACCCCCCCATCGTTAGTTTGCTCGTTTACTTGTTTATTTTGCTTACGGGTCACACCAGAGCAGGCAGCTGGCTGCGTGTGACTGGAAGAGTGGTTTACTGTGAGAGCAAACGCTCAGCCGGGCCAGCGCTGAAGTGAGCTTGCGCAAGCATCCAGAGCCTCACTTGTAAATGATTGTAGAAGTGGTCTCAATGGGTGTCGGGGGGACCTGGAGTGGATTAAGGGGTTGGGATGCTCCACATGTGTGGGGCAGGGTGGGCCAAATACCTGGTTAAACATTATTCTGGTGCAGCTGTGAAGACATTCCTGGATGAGGTGACATTTAAATTGGTAGACCGACTACAGCATTGTGCCCTGCATACGTAGGTGACCACATCCAAATGGCTGCAGAGTTGTATTCAACAAAAGGCAGATAAGAGAGAATGAGGTCTCGTTGCTTTATGTCTCCTCATGCCTTCTAAGTCAGGCTCGAATTTACACCTTGTTGTCTCCTGAATCTCAGCCTTCACTCTTGGGAATGAAGATCTTATACATTTTCAATCTTCATAATTACAAGAACCAATTTCTTATATTTTTTCCCCTCTCTCTGTTATTTTTTTCTATTTTTGGAAAATCTAGGTTAATCTTACCAAGTTAAAACACAGATAATACGGAGACAAAGGTCAGTGCTATCATCTAGTTCCAACACCAACTCTGGAACATTGTCGCCTTGTGGGGAGAAAAACCTCAATTTCACCAAGCGCCAGTGTTTCCTTAGTAAAATGAGGAAGGTGACAGCATTTACTTTAGAGTCTCCTTACATGGCTTGAGATATGCTTGTCATATGTTCAACATAGTCCATCCTGTAAAATGTTTCAGTGAGAGGTAGTCATCATTATTATTGTTATTAATCCATTTTCCTCTTTACTGCTTCTCTCCTCCCACTGTGTGTGTGTGTGTGTGTGTGTGTGTGTAGGTTAAGCAAACCTAAAGATACAATTGAGAAGGGATAGAAAATGATATAATTTGATAGTATTTAAAGAATCAGAAACTTGTGTAAGAAATAACAGCCGCCATATTTACTCTACACCACTAAGAAATGGCAGATACTAAAGTACAACCAGAATGAAGCAAATTGCCCAGTTTCTGGACTCACAGGAGTAGACCTGTGGCTAACTTTTGAGTATGTGCTATAGCTTCTATGGACATAGAAATAGAATTGCATTGAACACATCGTTTATAACTAACTTTTGGTAAAACTATGATACTGTATCTACATACTGCTTTCTCCTTAAGCACGTGTATCTATTTCATGGTTAGGTGGTATTACAATGCATGGATAGTCCTTGGATTTTACAACAATATTTCAGATTAATGCTCGACCTGTATGCATCAATCATTATTTATTTAGGCTAAATTCACAAAATTAATTGTTGATTCCCAAGCCATCAGCGTTTTTAAGAATTTGATTTAAGAACTTCCAGAAGGAGTTCCTTGTTGAGCTAATGAACTGTTGTTATCCATTTTCACATATCCTGACCAATTCTGGATAAAGTAAGTAAGTCAGTGACGGATGGAGGCAGGATGAGACAAAGAGATGAAGAAAAGCAGAGGGAAGGGGAGAGGGTGGGAGGGAGAGGCAGAGAGACAGGTGGGGGGGGCTCTGAAATAGAATTCAAGTCGATTAAAACTTACACGTCATTAAAGGAGAATTGTGTAGCTATCCCATTAGATGCGTTTAGGCTCCTAAAGAAGTTTTTTTAAGATTACCTTATTTGAAGCCATAATTAGCCTAAATTGTCTGTGCTTGAAAGGCAGGTTCTGTAAGCACATGCTTTTCCTTTACAACCTCCTAATTATTTCCACTAAAATTAATCAGGAATATGAGTAATTCATTCAGATCACCCCTTTGCAAATTTAACTAGAAAATACTGTCATTTGCTCTTTATTTGCTGGATGCTTCATGAGTTCTCTAAAATGAATGTGATTTCAAAGCAGCAGCATTCTGTCTGGGATGAAATGAGTAAGCTTCAGAAGGGGATGTTAATCTCAAGAAAGTCAAAGTGCAGATTGTGAAAAGCTTAAAAACCGATGTACTTTAATCACAGCCTGATTAGGGGAGGAGACACCATGATAAAATGGAACAAGTGAAGACAACCCTGCTTGCCCAGGCTCCTGAGATTTTCGTTTTGAGGTTCCGGTGATTGAGAGTGGTTTCGTACAGTTGTAGCTACCTTCTCTTCTGAGGCTTACCTTATGCACTTCTTCTCCGAAAAAGCCCACACTGTAATGGAAGGAGGTTGGGAAAGCTCACCTCGCCCTGGTCTCATTACAAAGAAGTCCGACTTCCTGCTCACTGCCACTGTTGTGGAAGCCCAAGGCTGCACCTGCAGACAGTGCCGCCCTGGAGACCTCCAGTGTTTGAGGTCACAGGTGTGTGGACCCAAGGCGCATGGGGATGAGGCTGTGGGCTGAGGAGCGGTAAGGATAGACATCATGGCCTGAAGAGTGGCTTTCCAAAGATGTTCGTGTTTTAATCCTTGGAAACAAGGACTTATTGGCAAATGCTTAAAGGCAAAAGGGAATTTGTGGATGTGATCAAGGTAGGGATCTGAGCGCGAGGTGGGAAGTGTATCCTGGGTTATCAGGTGGATCTTGTGTTATCAGGAGCATCCTCATAAGAGAGAATGGAGGTGTGAGAGTCAGACAGATGGGCAAGCTGATGATCGCAGCAGAGACAGAAAGACAGGGTGGGTGGCCTCTCAAGGTCACAAAAGGCAGGAAACAGATTATGTCCTAGATCCTCCCAAAGGAACCAGCCCTCATAGCCTTTTGACTTCAACTTGGTAACATTGATTGGAGAATTCTAGCCTCTAAAGCTGTGGGATAACGTATCTGTTTTGTTTTAAGCCACCAAGTTGTGTCAGGTTGTTATAATAGCCATGGGGAAATAATGCAGTGCCGACGTTAATAATAATAAGATGAAGTCTCTTGTTTCGTGCTCTGTAACAGACAACACTGTCAGGACTCTTTCAAGTTCTCTCACCTTCTCGGTGACCTTCCACTGAAGGCCCAAGACCAGCAAATAAAAGCGCTGGTGCCCAGAGTGAACCTGGGCTCAGTGAGGTAACTCCTGCTCACCTGCACATCTGACTTAAGCTCCTGCACAGGTTTTTTCGTCCCGGCAGATTAGCTCCCTGTACAATAGTTCTCAAAACACCAAACTAGTGGCCAACACCTATTAAAAACTCTGAGCTTTCCAACAGGTCAGGTTTCTGTATTTTCTTGAAAAGTGAAAAATATCTGGGGTTACTGCTGTCACCCCCCCCATCACTGGAGGAGCCCCTCGGTGTCTGCCCTCAGGACAGAGAGGATCCTCACCCCCCCCGGGACCTCCCACGCTCTGTTGTACCTGTACGGTCCTCTTCTGGGAACTTGCTGCGAGCAAGGAGCATCCTGTCTGGGCCTGGAGGCATCTCAGTTTTCTGTCGCCCCATAACAGAGTGTCAACAATTACGTGCAATAAAGCAGCACACAGTGATTGACTGTGTGTCCTTTGCTGGGGATGGAACCGAAGGCCACATGTGAGCCAGGAAAGTGCTTCACCACCGAGCTACACCGCAGCCTGTAGCAAGATGTGTCATGTCAGCGCGTGTAGATCAGGCGAGTTGGCTTGGCTCAGCGGAGCCCGCTGCTGTGGTTTTCGCAAAGCTGTGGTGCAGGGG